GTCCCACCGAAGCCGTCGCCACTGCCGACGCTGCGTGCTGAAGACTTCAAGCACCACAGAAACGCTCGCCTCCGAACCGACTGGAACGGCGCGATAGGCCGCGGTGGTGTTCGCAGTCCATGCAGAGCCGCCAGCGGGCCCGGGTACCTCGTCCGTACCAACGAGCCGGGCACGCACAAAGTCGTTGGAATTGAAGCCGTGCGTGTTGCTCGGCGTGCACGCTTGCCGCTGACCGGCCTAGAGTCGGAGTCGAAGAGTTTGGTCGGGGGCAATCGAGCCGTTCCGAGCGGCGCTTGACTGCTCAGAACGAGTTGGGCAACCAGCATTTTAGTCCTGATCCTAGCGCAGCCACCAGTTTCTTCATTGGCGAGGACGTCCGAGTCGGGCGACTGGCGCCCGTGACCCCGCGGACCCCGCGACGCACGAGCCTGCACAGCCGCCGCCGTGACTGGAGCCAAACGCCTTTACAGCCGAGCCATGATCTGTGATTGGCAGCGGCTCCCGCTCTTCCTCCTTTGGCTGGGTGCAGGGGCGACAAAGCCGCCTTGTGGAGAGTGCGATGCCGGGCTAGAGTGTGGCTACTGCCTCCAGTTGGTGAGCTGCACCTTTTGGGATGAGGCTTCGCCGTTCTGGGCGCCATCGCAATGCCACAGCCGGATGCACTACGGCGTCTGGTGCGAAGGGGACGGCCGCTGCGGCACCAAAGCGCCGGGCTTCATGTCGAGCAGCGTGTGTGCTTCTGGCGCGATGTATGTGCGGATGGAATGCGATGTCATCCTGCAGCCGCCTCCCCCGCCGGGAATCTACTCGCGCAGTGCTCAGTTTGCGCTGGGACAAGGCGGCGGCGAGCGAGGACTCCCCGCGGATGCACCCGCCGTCGCCGTCGCCGTCACCTCTAGCCTCGCCAGCGCCGGCATGGCAGTCGATCCAGAGCAAGTTTACGGGTTCGGTGCGGGCGATGCCGTGTCGATCATTGTGGTGGAGGCCATGGATGGGAGCGGCCCATCGGCCGAGGGCGTCGTGGCGGCTGCAGACAGCGACTCCTTCCTGGCGAGCGTGGGGAGCGAGCTGAGCGTGCCGGTGGTCTTCACAGCGAAGCCCGCCGTGGCGTGGACAGAGGTCCCCCCAAAGGGGCCGGGACCCACGTCGACGGCGCCGCCGCCGCCGCCGCCGCCGCCCTCGCCTGTCAACGTCCTCGTCGAGGCCCACCCTCCGCCCCCGCCGAGGACACCAGCCCCCGAAATCGGCATCACCTCGGAGTTTTACATGGCTTTGCTGCTTCCGCTGCTCCTCCCACGCCCATCGCGGCCGGTGATGTTTGCCCTCATCGTCGTGGCCGTGTGCTTGCCGATGCTCACCATCCTCCTCCTCCTCTGGATTTGCCCAGGCCCGTGCCACCTCGCAGTCAGCTCTGTCCCTAGCCCTCCTTTTGTCCCTCTGGGGCAAGCTGAGTGTCGCACCAACTGTTGGTGCACTAGGCGACGGCCTGACTCCCCGGGCGACATGCTGTGGCAGGAGGCGGCGCAAGACAGGCCGCAAGAAGGGCTGCTGCCCGACTCTGGCGTTTATGTGAGCGGTTCGGGGCTTCCGAGCTTTCGATTCCGTCGCGATGGGGGTACCTACCGCCTCACGCTCACCCAACATCGTAAGCTGGCGTGTTGCGTGTTGCTCCGGAGTCCGGTGTGTGGATTATGAGATGTGGATTATCTTGAAAGCCAAAAATCGGCCTCGGACGCCTCCACCCTTCTCGCCTTCCAGCTTTTCCTTCCTGCCATCCTGGCTGTCCACTGAGCACTGTCCTGACTGGACCTGTGCTAAAGAAGTTGGTCGCCGTCTCCTCTGGAAAAGAGATAAAGAAGTCACCCTTTTCTTTTTCTAGCACCTGTGTCGAGCCTGTCTGCTGTGAGAGAGAGTTGTTTTCTTTAAATTCTTTTTCTAAACCCAACGAAAATTCTCTTCTGGAAATCGTGCTTAGCACGGACGCACGACGCAGCGCTTTCAACTTTTGCTTTCGGGATCCCCCCGCGTTCAATCGCATGCGATGCCCTGCGGGTACGATCTCGTACTCAGGGACCCGCCGTGCGCTCTCATCAAGCGCAGCAGCCTCTACTCCCCAAAGTGCAATCACACAGCACCGGCGCTTTTTCCACTTCTCGTCACCGCCACCGGGCGGAGCGGTGAGCCTGCAGCCATCACTGAAGTATGAATGAGTCCCACCCTGAGGATCATTCTATTATACCCGTCTGCCCTCACCTCCGCCGCCCCCTCGCGTCCTGCTGCAACTTTCACGCTCAGTCACCCGCCCTGTCAGGCACGAGCTTCCTGGCAAGCCTGCTGCAGAGACTCGGGCTGCACGTGAGCCACGACAACAAAAAGGTGCGGACGGACGGCGCCGTCGCCTGGCCCCTCGCCTTCAACGCCCAGCCCCATGGCGGAGGCGTCTGCATGTTTCCGCGCTTTGCGCACCCGCTGCGAGGCCCGATGGATAGCGAGCACCAGGCGAGACCGAGAGCCGAGACCGAGCCGAGATTAAGCTGTGCTCTAGCGAAGCCCCTCCGCCTGCCCGATCGACGGTAATCCTTGCCCGCCCTCGCCAAGAATCTCCTCTTCCACCACGTCGCGCATTTGATCCGCTCGCCGCTTCCATCCATCGACTCACGCTTCAACGACGGCAACCTCGCCGGGCCCGTCGTTCTCGAGTTTCTGCGGTGCAACACGGCGGTCAATGCGACTGCCGATTCGTCCCGCGGAGGGACCCTCCGCGAGACGTTGCAGCACTGGGTTCTGTGGAACACCTTCGCGGAGGCGACGGCGGAGCGGCATCTCGCGATCGAGCGGATGAGTGGGAGTGCGCTGCTGCCTTTGCTGCGCGAGGCAAAGATTGCCCGCTCGCTCACGGCGTTGCAGATCGACGAGGCGCTGCACCGGACGCCGAAAACGATGAACAGTGGCTACACAAAAAAGTCGGCCCTGCGCTGGGCCAACCTGACGGCGGTCGACCCCGACTTTGCTTTGATGGCGCAGATGGTGGCGCTGCGGCACGGCTATGGGCTCGGCGAGAGCCAACTGCTCCCAGGCCTTCGGTCGGAGACAGGGAGGTGCCCGCAGCAGCACTGCGGCTTCAACGAGCAGGGAAAGTGGGCGTGCCACCTCGTGTGGTCTCGCCCGCGGGGACGGACAGAGATGCACGCGGATGTGAGGCGTGCAGAGGGAAAAAGTTCTTAAGGTCTCGGGAGGACTCTTGGTTCCGAGTTCGTGTCTGTTTTGTTTTAGCGCAATACGCACGGGACTGACGCGCACTTGCACGGACCCACACATGAGCAACATGAGGCGCACCACAGCGGTCAGCGCACGGGAGAGATCACGGGTACAAGGCGCAGGAGCGGTCTGGAGGGCGTATGTCATAGCGGTATGTCACCGTTGTGTGTCGCCTGACAGCCCCCCGGCTGCGCCCTGGCGTCCGATGCCATCTTAATCCCGGGGTGGTGCTGCGTTGTGTGTGTGACTGGAAGGGCTTCTTGGAGAATTCTTTTACGTTGTATAAATAAATAGAGCAGTTGTCACCTCCAGGAGAGATGGGCGACGCATGTTGTGCCAGTGGGTGAAATTCTCAAAAAGGTGCAGCACTTCTAGCCGACATCGACAAAAGTCCCTCTCTAGCCCCGCGGCGAGCGGCCCCGCCGGAGGCGAAGAAAATTTCGCCATCTAGCGCTCGCAACACACAGATTTGTGCATAAATCAACACACTCCAACTCAAGCTCAATAAAGACTGGTCTTCGGGGGAGTGACGGATAAAGGCGTGCGAAAGAGCTATGAATTCGAAAGCAGCGAAAGTAATGGCCCGCCGCAGGGTTTTGGGTCCCCTACGCCAAAGAACTCGAGGCCCAGGATTTCGGCGGGCGCGCCAACGAGGCACGCGGCTTCGCGCTGCCTGTATGCTCGCGCTGGTAACACCGTTGCTGTGGCCGTCTTCGTCCGTATTGTACACCGAGCTGGCGCCACAGCAGAGTACAACAACGGCTCGGACGAGCTGCTCCACGGTACTACAATCATCAGAGGGCCCGGCAAGGTCCACGGCGGAGCTGGCGGTGGTGGCAGTGGTGGTAGGAACGAAGGCGCCGCTGTCGGCGATTCACCGCCGTTCGTTCCCGTCTCTCAAAGCAGGTTACACCGTCGATGCGCACATCGAGGCGCTCGTGGACGAGAGAGACGTCGCCTCCTCTTTCGTCCCGGGGCACTGTTCATGGATCACGCCGGAAGGCACCGCCAAGTACATTAGCCTTCATCTCTCCTACCGCCGGCCGGGAGTGCAACCGCCACCAGTGAGATTGTCCTCGACTTTGGCACCTGCGAAGTAATGAACAACAGGCAGTACGTCATATGGCGCTATGATAGCCCTGCGGTGGACGTCCTCGATGCAGACGAGGCGGAGCTCATCTGCGCGGCGCAGATCGCCGACTGTCTCTCTCTCCCTGCGCGAGTAGTTGCACCACCCTGGATGAGGCATCTGGGCTGGGGCAGGGCCGTTAGTAGAGGAGGTGGACTGAGGGCGCGAGGCCACCAATCGTCAAAGTCTGCTGCTGGCTGACTGTCGGTCACTGACTGAGCAATGTCCCAATGAGCAATCGCATCGGCGGTTTCACGCTCACAATCGGGTTACATCGAGGTCTCTGTGCGGGATGTGCTGGGGGGCTGCCCCCCAGTCGATTGCCGCAAAGTTCGTCGATGTAACCCTACCAGAAAGCTGTATTCACACCTACCCTCCCAGAAAAGAAATATCCCTGGTTTTGTCGAAGATCCGGCGGGTTTATCGGAGCATCACCCCAGTGTGCTGTGCGCGCGGCCGAATTCCTTTATCCGCGACGTGGGCCGGACGGCGCCCCGTCGTCTGGACAGGTGAGCAGGTTTTTGCTCGCCTTCCCTGGGACTCTGTGCGATTTCGGGCCCGGAGTTGTGCGTTTACGTGAGAGGAGACAGGCTTGATTTACCCGAGGCATCGAATGGTGCTCTGTCTCTTGCACGTCACGAGCGCAGTCGCGCCACTACTGGCCTCGAAGCTGCTGCGCCGCACCGCGCGAAGCGCAGTGGGGCTGCAGTATGGCAACTATGAGTCGGTGCAAGGCGTCGGCTATGAGTCGCCGCAAGGATACCTCGAGCAGCCGGTCCTTGCCCTGGACGGGGCCGTCGGGGTTACCGGCTTTGCGTACTCGATGCAGGCACACGACAGGTACCTGCACCTGCCGTACGTGCTGCGCTTGGGAGAGGAGCAGGTGCTGAGCCGCTGGAATATGGTGAGGCAGAAGCTCACGGTCTCTCGAGAGCAGTGCAAGGTTGCAGTGGCCGCGGACGGCGCTGCTTTGCTCCTCTCCACCGGCCGTGGCCCGACGATGTGGCGCTCGAGGGCGGCCTCGGAGTGGCCCTGCGGGCCATGGAACGCGCTGTACAACGGCCAGGTGCGCGTGATCGAAGATGGCGACCAGCTCAGCTTGGACTGCAACGACCCGGACGACGCGGTCTTCACCTGCCACGTGCAGCAGCAGCAGCAGCAGCAGCAGCAGCAGCAACAGCAGCAGCAGCAGCAGCAGCAGCAGCAGCAGGGCTATGCCGCGCCACAAGGCCACACGCTGCCTGCCGGCTGGACGGCTGGGCTCGATGAGGCAACCGGCGGCACCTACTACTACAACGAGAGGACCGGCGAGTCGCAGTGGGAGTTCCCGCAGTATTAGATCAGGGCCTTGGCCCTGCGCGGCGGCCGCGCGTTTTCTTCTCTTCTTTACACTGACGGAAGAGTGAAATTATATGTGAATGTGCCGGTTTCCGATTCGTTTCCGATTCGTTTCCGCAGTTCCCCGTCCCTGACGAAATCTTTGCGCTCTCCTTAATTACATAGCTCATAGGCAATTATAACACCCGCGTCTTTTGGTTTTGCCTTTCTGACTCTGGACTCTGAGCACTGAGGTATCACTCTATCACATCCATTCGTCCGCTCCATCTCGACGACACGCTGCAATCGGCGTTCACGTCGGCTCCAACCCGCCCCCGGCTCCGCCCGCCGCCGCCAGAGCGCTGCTCCCGCCTCCCTCCGCCAAGAGCCCTCGTGCCAGCCGCGCCTTCTCCGCGTCCACGAAATCGAGCCTGCGATCACAGGTCGGATGACTGTGAAGAGACGGCTGTTCGCAGCGGTCCTTTTGCTCAGCAAAAGGGCCCGGCCCGCTCCCGTCCTCGCCACGAACCCTCTGCTCTCGTGCATCCGGAGTAATCTTGGGGTAATCTCGAGGGGAACCCTTGGCGATCTCGGGTCCTCTCGCGAACCTGTTTCGCCACGCCTCCTCCAGCAGCGCCGAGACGTGCGCCTGGCAGCGTGGACGCGGCGATGAGGGCAGCGATGAGGGCGGCGGTGGCGGCGATGAGGGCAGCGATGAGGGCGGCGACGAGGGCGGCGGTGGCGGCGGTCAGGGCGGAGGTAGCAAGGAGGAGAGAGAAGGCAGGGAGGAGAGAGGAGGCAGGGAAGGGAGAGGCAGGGAAGGGAGAGGCAGGGAGGGGCGAGGAGGCATGGACAGCGCGAGCCTTGAAGTCGTCGCGCTTGAGCGCCTACGGGTGTCAGCCGATTTCATCACCAGGGTCTCATCCTTCGGCGAGGGCGGAGGCGGCGAGGGCGGAGGCGGCGAGGGCGGAAGCGGCGAGGGCGGAGGCGGCGAGGGCGGAGGCGGCGAGGGCGGAGGCGGCGAGGGCGGAGGCGGGCTCGGTAGCGGAGGAGGCGTCGAGAGCGGGGGAGGGCGGAGGCTGCGCGGTTGGTAAGAGCGGAGGCGCAGGCCAGTTGGCGCCTAGTGCAATCTCATGCAGTCTCGGAGGGTCTCGGGGCACCTCGCGGAAGGGCGCGAGCCGCAGCAGCTCGAGCATCTGCGGCGCGCGGAGCAGGCATGTGCGGTGGTTCTATGGCTCTGTGGACCTCGTGCCCGAGCCATTCGTGATCCGTGTGTGTGCACGTGTGCGGTCGTCCGTGCGAGGACGTGCAAAGAGGAGAGTGAAGACTGGCTGTGTGCCGAGCGAGCGCTGTCGCCGTCTGTGTGTGTGCATTCGTCTCTCATCCGAGCGGCGCGCATGCAGACAATGCGGGAAGGAGAGCAGCGCCGCGTACTCTGGCCGCCGCCAGTACTCGAGGTAGCCGAGGTACCGGCAGAAGGACTCGTCGTCGAGAAGCCGGGTCTGGGCAAGGTCTGCAGCGCGGGCACGGCGTGGGTGATTTATGGCTGCGAGGCGGGCGGTGGTACTCGGCGTGCGCACGGTGCAAGTAGTCTGGATTGGCGAGCCTTTGCACGAACTCGAGCTCGGCCTCGAGCCGAGCGGTGGAAGCCGCGCTACGAACTGACATCGGCCAGGGGAAAGGTCGAAATGCTCCGGCACGAAAAAGAAAACGATATTCCTTACCGCGTTGGTGTCCAGTCCGAGCCTGGCTGTTCTTCACCTTCCTAACTAACTAACTGTGTTCTCGAGGTTCTCGAGGTGGATATCCATTGGTGTGACGCCCCTTACGCGATCCACGCAGGCATATATGTTTTCTGGCGGCCGACCGTCAGTGCACGGAGTTGCCCCTTCTCAGACTGCCCCGGCTAGTTCCCGAGGTCGTCGGGTGTGACCCCTTCGTCCCCCGACCCCCGAGACCTAGCGCGGGTGGGTTGGAGGGGGCTCGCTGCAAGGAAGGGCGGTGTAAGTAGCCGATCCCCGCAGTCCGCCCCGTTCCTCCCCATCGGGCCGCGTGAGCGGCCTCGCCTGTCGCCTCGCAGATTCGTTTCTCGCGCCTGGGTCAGGCGCGCGGGGCATCCCCCGGGTCGCTCGACCAGCGATCCGAGGAGTGGCCGCTATGAGAGGGAAAGAGCGGGGCCCTCGGGGTACGCCTCCGTCCGGCCCCCTCCGAGGCGCGAGGGGGGAAGGGAATTGCAGGGTCCCCTCGGGCGCCTCTCTTCGGCCCTCCGCAATGAGTGTGTGTGTGTGTGTTTCGTATCAAGAATACTCAGATCACTCACTGTGTGAGTGTTAGAGTTGTTTGGTATTGCTAAAAATCTCTCTCTCTCACTGTGCCAACGAGGGGCACAGTGCAACACACCAGAGACCACACAGCCGAGAACACGTGTGTTCTCACATTTCACACCTCGAAAGTGCTGTCATGACTCATCTCGCGGTTGTGACGCGGTTTTTGTCACCCCGCCCCGTCCACACGTTGGTCGTGCACGTATACAATACGCAAGCCCGGCCCCGGAAAAGAGGCTGCCCCGCGTTCCGAACCGCGCTCCCGCGGCTCACACGATATGGCTCGTGTGAGAGGCTGAGATTATTAGGTCAAGCTTAAGCGTTTTAACATTTAACGCGTCCTGCCACCGCGCACCGGGGACCCCCGCGGCCGATAGCAACAAAAAATTGCGAGCAACGAGCGTCTCCCCGAGTCCAACGAGTTTGATTAGGATGATCACGAGTACTGATGGGATGATCACGCACACCATCAACCAATCTCAAGCACCCACGCACCGCCAAGGCAAGCGACCGCTCTATAAATTATCTGTCCGCCCGTGGGGCGAGTAGTGCGGCAAAGTTAGGCGGAGGGGCGCAGCGGGGCCGCATGGGCCAGCCGCGGGACAATATCATCCCTCCGCGTCCACGCATCTGGAGTTCACAAGGCACGCGCAATGCAGCGTCGCACGCGGCCGACGCCCTTACTTCGCGGGCGACGCCTTTGGCGGCGACTTTGGCGGCGGCACTCCCGACTTCGCCGGCCATGCAGGCCACTCCTCCAGCGCCGGCGCAGTCCCGCCGTACTGCGCCGGCAGCTGCGCCGGGTCAATCAGGCTGTGCAGGTGCTCTCTCGCGCGCTTGGGCTCCCCCGCCGAGATGATTTGGACCTTCGCCTTGGTCTTCTCGTCCAGCCACGCGCTCACGATCTTCCACACAAACGCGAGCGATGCGGGCGCGTTGATGATGACAAACCCGCCGAGCCGCTCTGGGTAGTGGTCGGCGTCGATATTTGCCATGCTCTTGAGCACCTTGAGCGCCACCCGGTCCATCTGCGTGGGCGAGAAGCCCTTGGCATCGCAGATGATGAGCCACTGCTCTGCTCCAACCTCGTTCAGCCGGCGTGTGTACTGCTCGTTCACCCACCTACCAGGAGAGCACGAGGTGTGATAGGCGACTTCGCCGTGTGCACACTTGACCGGCAATATGCGCGTCTTTTCGAGCAGGCGTGTGGGGGCAGGTGGTAAGGTGGGGGGGGGGGGGGGGCACCAGTTGTAGTCGCAGAGCTGGTCGAGCGTGATGTTCGTCGAGTTGAGCAGCCGCGAGAAATAGACGTGGCCAAAGTGCTTGATGATGACCGGGCGGCCTCTGCGGTCGAGGCAGGGCGGGTTTTCGTGCGGTAGGAATGCCTTGAGCTTGGCCACCTCGCACCCGAGCACCGCATCCGCGTCCTCGCCGCTCCGCTCCTCAATTCGGTGCTTCCGGCGCCACGCCAAATCAGCCTGCAACCGGAGGCGGTGCCAGTGAGGAAGAAGAGTACGAAGTCGCCCAGGGGAACGGGGGGGGGGGGGGAGACGGCGTCACGCGAGGCGCGGGCGGGCAGGGGAGGGGCCCGCAGTCGATGCCTGCAGGAAGTCGGACGACTTGCCCACGTGGAGCTTGCGGGCTCGCAGCCAGCGGAGAAGGTCAGCGCGGCTGAGGTGGGCGATACACTCGCCCCGCCGCTCCATCTCGGCACGCAGCCCTGCGAGCGCCCTCTCCTCCGGCGTATCGGGCACGGCAGGGCAAGGTCTTGCAGGCGGCGGCGGCGCGACGCTGCCGGCATCCGAGGAAGAGGGTGCCGAGTCGGTCTCGTCCAATTCCGCGGCGACCACGTCCAGCTCGAGTGGCTTAGCAACGGCCACCGACGTCGCCCCCGCCCCGTTAACGCCCACACCCAGCGGCTGAGGCGTGCCATTCTCCTTGTGCGCCTCTGGAGATTCCGCAGATGGGGGCATCTAAAACAAGAAATTATTTCTCACGCAGCCGGTTTATAAGTAAAACGGAGAGGCCAAGCGAGGTCCGAGGAGGAGGACAGGGTCCCCACCTGCACGAGCAGGATTTTGGAAGGACGATCAGGGGGACAGGTGGGTGGGCTCTCCTGCTCCTGACAAGGGCCAGTGAAAGAAAGAAAGAAAGAAAACAGACAACGCAAGGGAGGGATGGGCAAGTAAAGAAAGAAAGAAAACAGACAAGCCAAGGGAGGGATGGGAGGACGGCACGCCGCCACCACACAGGGATTTTAAGGAGAGGGGTGTGGTGCGCTAGCCGTCGCCCACCCTTGGGCGTCCGCCTCTTCCTATCTCTCTTCGCAGTCTCTCGCCGATTCTCGCTGCAACCTTCATGCCACCTCGCGGTCGTCCCACTCTCGTCGTTCTTTCCCTTGTCGCCCTTGTCGCTTCTTCTTCTGTCGCGTCGCTCTCTTCTGCCTCGTCCTGCGACGCCGGGATGGGCAATAAATAAATAAATAGAGCAGTCATCTCCAGGGAGGGATCGGCTTGGAGCACTTGGAGCACTTGGAGTGCAGTCGGCAACCTCACATCCAGGGCCGGTGAGCTGAGAAGCGCATCCAGCGGGCCGGATGATCGGCATCGGGCTACGGGCTAGAGAGCCCTGACCCCTAGCTAGGGGGGGGCGCGCATTCGCAGGGCAAGGGCCTTAAAGTAAACACGGGTCTCCGAGGGTTAGTTCTGCGCTTTGGGTGTCCCCTAGCGGCGGAACGCCCCCTCTACTCGGAGCTAGAGAATACTCTCCGAGGGTTAGCCCCGCGTACCAGGTTTCCCCTTAACTGCAAGGACGCCCCCTCTACTCGGAGCTAGTGATACGAGAATACGTACCGCCCCCACGCGCAGTACCTGTACTACTCGACGATAACACAAGAATACGCAGCTTGCGAGACGCCTATAAAGAAACAGCGGGGTAGGGCTTGATCTCCACAGGCTGGTCGTATCCAAGCGCCGCTGAGCTGACTCTCTGCAGGTCCCGGCGCAGCTCCTCCTCATTGCCATGGTCTCTCGGCAGCGGGACTATCACGACACCGTCATGCTGAAGGTTGATGACCGCACGGCCCGTCGCGCACGCCCAGTTCCATTTGGCCGTCCTGGAGACCGCCTCCAGTTCCGAAACCACGTCCGATTTGAGCGTGCGCGCCGGGTCGGTCGCCCCCCCAGGCGGGTTCACGTTCGTCTCGTGCAGGTTCCAGTACCCCACAGTCTCGTGCAAGTCCGTCAACTGTTCGGCGAGCCATTGCGTACGGAGCGACTGTTGCCGGAATAGTTCCCGGACGTGGAAGGTCTCGCCCCCCCCCAACGCGATCGGGCCCTCTCCCAGCGACCTATCCTCCGGGATGTCATTACGGGTGCGCCACGCGGAGTACGTGCCATCCATCTCGGTGGCGCAGAACAGGCCTTTGACTGCCTTCCTAGACACGGTTGGCTCCGCTCCTGGGAGGAGGGCCGCTCCCACTGCCACAAGCACCTTCTCCCTGGTCTCCCCCCGGAGGAACTCCGCCGCTAGCTCTCTGTGGACTCCAATCACCGCGAGGGCCGCCCGCGCATGTGCGGCTCCGTCGTCAAAGTCGAGGCCAAAGCGCGCCAGCGCGGTGCTTCGGATGGGTCTCGGGAGCCGGAAGGGGTCCGCCGAAGGGGTTGTAGCGTACTCCCTCCCCCCGGAGAGCCAACCCGCCGCCACCATGGCGTCCGTGCGTCTCCCGTGTTCAAACTCGATGTCCACAAACCCCGTCCGCGGGTCCGGCCCCGGTCTCACCCTCTGGAGAAAAGCCCTCACCACGTCGTGGTGCGTTTGGTTCGCGAAGAAATGCCGGTCTCGCCGAATCACTCTGGCCCCTGCCGCCGACGCGGCGTACGCCTCGAGCGCCCCTATGTCGATAGGGCACCGAACCCTTCGGGTGACCGGCCTACCTTCTCGTCGGATCCTAGCATGTTCCTCCCCCCTGAACATGTCATTGAGCAGCTCGGCCCTTGCCTTCCGCAGCCTTTCCCTCGCCTCGGCCACCTGCTCGTTGGTACATGGCGGCCTCCCCGCCTGCTTCCGTTTTTGGTCCATGTGTCCCAGCCGGGTCACCGCCTGTTGGTACAGCCGCTCCACCCTCCCTCGGGATGGCGTCGCGTGGACCACTACATCCCCGAGGACGCCGAAGGCATGCCTCGCCCTCATCACCCGCGTGACCTCGTCTAGGAAAACCACCGAATCATAGCCAGGCGTGCGGATCCGGGGAGGAGGCTCGTGGCGGATTTGGTTCGGTTCAGCCCTTCCTTCGACTCGTGCCGTCGGCTGTCCCTCCCCCGTCTCTGCTCCTCCCCCGTCTGAGGCTCGCGTGGCTTCCTCCCTCCGTGCTCCCGCCGGCGGCTGGTTCTGCCGTACAAGGCCCCGCAGTTCTTCCGCAACGATCTCTCGGTGTCCGAGCTGGTCACCTCCGTTGCCCTGCATGCCCTCGCGGTCGACGTGAGGTAGCACCTCCTTGACCATCGCTTCCGCTAGGTCCGCGAGATCCCGCCTCCCCACAAATCGTAGCAGCTTCCTCCCCGACGGGTTCTTGATTCCGGCGAGCCTCTCCGGTCCGTCGAGGTCGTCGGCCTGTAGGCGGGGGGTCTACTCAAGTGCCTGCGTGAGTGAGTGTGGAGTGGTGGTGTGACGTGTGAGGCGTGCAGTGTGGTGTTCATTAGCTCCGAGTAGAGGGGGCGTCCTGCAGTTAAGGGGAAACCCGGTACGCGGGGCCAACCCTCGGAGACCCGTGTTTACTTTAAGGCCCTTGCCCTGCGAACGCGCACCCCCCCTAGGGGTCAGGGCTCTCTAGCCCGTAGCCCGATCCCGATCATCCGGCCCGCTGGGTGCGCTTCTGAGCTCCCCGGCCCTGGATGTGAGGCTGCCGACTGCACTCCAAGTGCTCCAAGGGTAAAGTTCGGCGGCTATGATAAACCGAAAGTTGTCGTAAAACGCGGGCGAAAGCAAAGCAGAGGGCGGGCGCTTTTTGCCGCAGCGATGCCCGCAGCCTGTCGAGCAGCTTCCGCGGCGCACATGCGCCGCGGGGTTGAACGACAGCCGCGCCTCTCGAGCCACCCGTGCCACGCGCGGCGACGCGCACCCTGCGCGCCAGTCGGCGCACTGGCAGTACTGCACCAGCCAGCACGGCGTGGAGCAATGCATCCAGGGCATTGTGTTGGGCGCCAGCCAGCATGCCTCAGCACAGAGCAAGAGCGCATGCTGCGCACCCTGGCGCAGCACCAGCTCGCCTCCAATCAGGCACTCTCACCACTGCACAGCCGCCCACGAGCGCCCGCAGCTGCACTGCTCAACGCTCAAGCTCAGGAGCCTCCCCTTGTTGTCGCAGCTTTGTGCAGTGCAGCGTGCGAGCAGCGCAGCGCCAGGCAGACCCGTGGCACGCCCGGGCGGCTGTGGGACGGAGGCCCGCCGAGCGAGTGCGAGCCGCATCGGCGGCCATGTCTCCCGCAGCCGCGAGCGAGCGGTGCAAAGAGGCAGCGTCGCGCATGCTTTCCGTAACGGTTCTATCGCTTTGCAAAAATTCTTTTCGTGATCATTCTGTTCGCGCGGAGGAGGAAGGCAGTTGGCAACCTCCTCCAGCGTCTTGACGGAGTGCCCCCAGCCCGGCGGGAGGTAGAGCAGAGACCCCCGACAGCTGCAGCGAGCGTCCGGCTCGGAGACCACAAGCGGACTGAAGAAACCAAAATGCCCGACCCCACCGCTGTCACTGCTCTCGTGCGTGCCCTGATCGAGGCCGAGGTGCCTGAGCTCCCGCCCGGAGACGAGCGCGCCTTGCGTCTGCTGCGGTACGCCTTGCGCATCCTCGGTTCCTCGATGCCGAGCGCGCTGCCATCGGCATCGCAGAGTGCAGAGCTTGCGCGGCGGCGGCTGGTGCACGCGGGTCGCACCGAGGACGCGCTGGCGCTGTCGCGGCGGCTGCGGGCGCTCGAGGCTTGCCCGGGCGCGCGGAACCTCCCATGTGTGCTCCACCTCCTCACCTGCCTGATGCAATCGCCGCCGCCGGGCTCGCTCGCGGCGTTCGCCCGCGGCTCGCTCCTCGAACGCACTGGCGGACGCGCCATCGAGAGCGGCGGAGCTTCGCGCCCCTCACGCGCCGCCGTGCCGCTGCCATCCCGTCGCGCGCCCTCTTGCAGCGACGGAATCGGTCGCGCGGACGCGTCTGCTTTGCAGCACGCTGCTGCCGCCGCCGCTGCTTCCGGCGGCGCTGCTGCTACTTCCGCCTCCGCCGCGCCCGCGAGGACGGGCTGGCGCGCGGGCGCAGGCAGCGGCGGCGTCGTCGGCGAGGAGGCTTCCGAGACACTCCCGAGACGCTTCCGAGGCACTTCCCCACCAAGACCTCCCCAGACGCCTCCCGTCCAGGCGCTCGTCCGCGACCTGCTCTACGTGATGCAAAACATCGAGGGCAGGCACCTCAAGTGGGACGACAAGGCCGACTCCTTCCTCTTTCAGCCCGCCGAGCGACCACGAGGCGGCCCCCCCTTGCCGCAGCTGACGCCCGCCGCCGCCGCCGCCGCCGCTTCGCTGGCCCCGGGAGTCGTGCAGGCGGTGGCGAGGTTGTGTGAGATCGGGTGGATGTACCGCGCCGTCTCCGCCTTTGTCGCCGAAGCGCACACGCCGCACACCTCGGGGGGCGGCGCAGGGCTCGTCGCGCGTGCGCTCGCCGCGTCGATGCAGGCGGAGCTGATCACATCTAGTGGCGTACAGAGTCTAAGTATGTAACATCTCGCGCGTCGTTGCAGGCGGAGCTGAGCGAGTGGCTGCGGCTGCTCGCCGTGCTCGAGTCGCAGCGGCTGCAAGGCCTCTCCCTCCAGCTGCCCGCGTGTGGCGAGATGTTCGAGTCGATTCTATGATACAGTGCATCATGAGATTAGGCCTCTCCCTCCTCCAGCTGCTCGTCTGGGGCGAGCCTCCCCTCCAGGTCACTCTCGGGAGAAGCCGCGCCGTCCCACGCCCGCTTGCCTGATGGCGGCCAGAGTCGTGCTAGCCACCTCCGAGCCACTCCCTTGCGACCTCTGCCTCCGCCGACGCCCTCACCAGCTGCCTCTCCGTGACCCCCACCTCACGCCCGCCTGGCCCGTCCCACGCGCGCAGCGCTTCGTCACCCTCGTCGCGGTCGTGCGAGGGTGCAGCCACCTTCGCGGCGGCGCGATGACAGTCGGTGTCGAGCGGCTCGGCCAGCACGGCGACCCGGCGGTGGAGGCGTACGTGCAGCGGCTGCTGCGCGGCGCGTGCGCGCCGCTGCTCGAGAGCTTGCGTCGCTGGCTCACGGACGGAGAGCTGGACGACCCTTGCGGCGAGATGTAGCCGAGATCTCGCCGAGAGGTCGCCGAGAGGTCGCCGAGGTGCACGATCCTGCCCCCCCCCCCCCCTCCTCTCAAACCCGCGGCAACCCCCCCCTTTCATGGGGTTCGATCGTTGATGACTCAGGCGAGTTCTTCATCGAGGCCCGCCCCGCGCCGCTCGCCGAGCTGTGGGAGAAGCGGTACGCCCTTCGGCCGCACATGCTGCCCTGCTTCCTCTCGCCCAAGGCCGCCTCGCGCGCCCTGCTGGGCGGCAAAGCGATCAACTTCATCCGCCTCGCCTGCGGGGAGGGGCAGTGGACCTTCGACGCGGCCGCCGCCGCCGCGAGGGGGGGCGCCGCCGCCGCCGCGGCCGGGCGGCACTTCGGCGCCGCGTTCGAGCCTCGGACAGTCAACTTGGCGGAGCGGGCCGCCGGCGAGGCGACGCTCTCTGCGGCGATCGAGTGCGCGTGCTCGCGCGCCAACGAGAAGCTGGTCGAGCTGCTGCTCGGCCGGCACCGGCTGCAGGAGCAGCTTCCCCACGGAGCACTCCCGAGATCACACCCGAGATTGCCCGAGGCTGTCTGGAGCTCACCCGAGCTCACCGACCTGCAGGAGCACCTCACCCACCTGAAAGAGTATCTCCTGCTCGGCAAGGGCGACTTTGTGCAGGCGCCGCCTCATCTCGGGCGAGTCTCGGCTAAGACTGGGGGGTATTGGCTGATCTCGGGTGATCTCGCGTCATATCGCGTCATATCGCGTATTCTCGCGTGATCTCGGGTGATCTCGCGTGATCTCGGGTGATCTCGCGTGATCCCGCGTGATCTCGCGTGATCTCGCGTGATCTCGTGCAGGCGCTGATGGAGCCGCTCTTGCCGCAGCTCTCGCGCCCCGCCTCGCAGCTGCACCGCCACCACCTGCTTGGGCTCGTCGAGTCCGCGGTGAGATGAGCCGAGATGAGCCGAGATGAGCCGAGATTGCGCCGAGATGAGCCACTTGCCCGGGCTCGTCGAGTCCGCGGTCCGCGGACTGCACGCCCCCGCTCGGCGCTGGCCGTGGAGCTTTGCGTGAGCCTTCTCGGAGCCACCCGCAGGTGCGCTCCTGCACCTCGCCCGGTGTCGCGGCAGGGAGCGGGAACGTCGGCTCGAGCGGCGGCGGATCGGGTTGGGCCCGCGGCGGCAGCGACTCGGAGCAGCTGCTGCTGCTCGCCCACCTCGGCGTCCTGCTGAGCAGCTCGCCGGGCGAGATGCCGCCGAGATGCCGCCGAGATGTGGAGACCACACAAGACACAGTCCCGCTGAGCAGCTCGCCACCGGCTCTCGGCTGGCCGCCCCAGTGGGCCAACCTCGCATGCGCCGAGGAACGAGCCGACTAGGCGCCACCGGCTGGGAGGCTTTCTCGCTCGACTACCGCGCCGACCCGCCCGTGAGCGCAGTGCTGAGCGCGGCCGCCGTCGGCGAGTACCGGCGTGTCTTCACGCTGCTGTGGCGTCTCAAGCGCGTGGAGCTGTCGCTGTCCGCCGTCTGGCGCAGGCACACCACGGCGGCGCGGCTGGTGCGCGCGCTCTCGTCCGACGCGCTGCTGCACCGCTGCCACCTGCTCCGGCACGAGATGGTGCACTTCGTCTTCAACCTGCAGTACTACCTGATGTTCGAGGTGATCCAGTGCTCGTGGGAGGAGCTCGTCGCCGCACTCGCCGCCGCCTCCGACTTGGACGGCCTCATCGGCGCGCACTCGGCCTTCCTCTCCGCCGTCGTCCAGAAGGCCATGCTCGGGCCGGAGAATGCGCCGCTGCTCGAGGCGCTGGACGCGCTCTTCGAGACGATCCTCCGGTTCGCAAAGTCGCAAGAGCTGCTCTACATCCACCTGCTCGAGCAGCGAGCCGCCGCCAAGCAGATGGCGGCAGCCGCCGCCGCAAACACCGCCGCCGGCGGGTGGGGCGCGGCGGGCGCGGCAGAGGCGGAGGCGCTGCTCGCCGAGGGGGACGCGCCGCCGCTTCAGCCGCACTTTTACGAACAGCTGCGCGTGCACGCCGCGCAGTACCGGCAGCAGTTCGCCGCCTTCTTCGCGCAGGTGACGCGCCACGCCTCGCTCGACCTCACGTTCCTCTCCTTCCGGCTCGACTTCAACGCGTACTACGAGTCGCTGGGCGGCGCGTAGGGCCGCGGTGGAGAGGGGTTCGTAGTAGGGTCGGAGGGGTGTCGCTGTGTCGCATGACGATAGAGGGATAGAGGGCCGGAGTCCTATATTCCTAGATTCGCGCGACGCAGCGTTAGAACTTCAAGTTGAAAAAAAAATGAAGCAGCGGCACGCTCGCCGAGCGCGCGCGAATCTCACAATTCACATAGTCTGAGGGTTACAGTAGAGTAGGTTTCTGGAGCCTCGCCCTCGGGTGCTTTTACGCTTTTGAGATCGGGTCAGGGAGGGGAGAGTGCGACTTTTACCACTTTGGTCGTCTCGGAGCGCCCAACTGTTAGCATTTTTCAATTTTTTCTTCGGCCCGCTGCGCGCCGGGTGCAGACCAGTAACGAGTAAGTACTTGAGCACTTGAGCACTGGATAGGGTCGATTCCGCGTGGTACGGGACCCCTCGATCGTCTCGCCCTCCCTCGCAGCTATCGTCCCGCAAACGGCAGAAGTAGTTCCTGCACACTATGCCTAGAAAAATGCTGCCGCTCGCCTCGAAAGCGCCCGTGTGTGTCCAAACACATGTTTGTAGCGCTCAAGTTTGTAACACATAAGGGCGCTGCTGAGCACGAGGCTGAGGCGCTGAGGCGCTGAGCCCGGGGCTCTTTGCGGCGGCGGCGATGCGAAAGGTCCAAAAGGATCTGGTGGCGATGAAGGTGGTGGAGCTCAAGGAGGAGCTGGGCGAGCGTAGCGAGGCCGTCTCGGGCAACAAGGCGTGGCTGCGCCGCCGGCTGCACGCCGCTATAGTGAGCGAGTATTTGGAGACCGCGCTGCGGGCGCCGCCGGAGAGTAGAATGTCCAAAGTTTTCGCGCGCGCCTGCGGTGACTTTTACCATTTTGCCCCGGGCGGGTCCACTTTTGTCGTTTTGCCCCAAATATCTACCCCCGGGCGTGCTTTTAGGATTTAGCGTTTTGACCCAAATCGGCCGAACTGGGATACCCTCAGACTATGGCGAATCACTTGACACTTCGCCAGTCAGTCCCTCCACGCCCACTCATCGCGACGCCGTCCTCCCCATTCATTCAAACATACGCTAGCAGCCATTCATTTTTGCGCCAGGAGAATTTGTTAGGAAAGTCTTTTCGCTCGCACATGATGTTAGTGCCAGTGCGCGCCAGTCCCGTTCCAAGTGTTGTGCGAGGGAGCACTTGGAGCACTTGGAGTGCAGTCATTAACCTCACATCCAGGGCCGGGGAGCTAAGGAGCGCACCCAGCGGGCCGGATGATCGGTATCGGGTTACGGGCTAGAGAGCCCTAGCCCCGGGGGTGCGCGTTCGCAGGGAAAGGGCCGTAAAGTAAAAACACGGGTCTCCGAGGGTTAGTTCCGTGTACCGGGTTTCCCCTTAACTGCAGAACGCCCCCTCTACTCGGAGCTAACGGACGACTAACATGTTTTCTTTCTTTTTCTACTCGGAGCCAGTGATACGAGAATACGCACATGTTACGAGAATACACACTGCCCCCACGGAGTACCTGTACTACTCGACGATAATACAAGAATACGCAGCTTGGAAGTTGCAGACGCCTATAAAGGAAAAACAGCAAGCTAAAGCTTTCGGCGGCTAAAAAGCAAAGGACGGGCGCTTTTGATCGGCAAAGCAAAGTTGGAGTAACGGCGACCGCGTCGTCACAATGCCAGTCGCCTGTCGAGCAGCCTTGGCGGCGCGCATGCGCCGCAGGGTTGACCGACAGCCGCGCGCCTCGAGCATCTCGCTCCACTCACTCGCGGCACGACGCACCCCCCGCGCGCCGGTCAGCGCAACAGGAGTATTGCGACATGCTGCACAACGCGCAAAGGACAGCACTGAGAGGTTGGCGCCAGTCGCCCACCAGCATGTCTCAGCACCGCGTGTGAGGGAGCATGCTGCGCACGCTGATGCAGGAGTCCTGCCAGAATTCATTCGCTCGACACCTATCTAGATATTGCTCACGCCGTCGAGCACGGCGTTCAAAGCGACGCGCTCACTAGAGTGTAGTGTTGGGCACTGTCAGAGCGGTGTTACGACACCGATATCGTCTTAACGACGCCAACGTGCACGCTGGCAGTCTCCAATGTCAGAGCAGAGTGTCAAGCCGGTCGTCGTGATCGCAGTCGGCGTCATCGCAAGCATGTCTTTCAATACCGGCTACGACATCGGTATAATGTCGTCCGCGAAGAGGCTCATGGCGCTCGACCTCGACCTGAGCCCATGGCAGGTTTCCGTGTTGGTCGGCAGCCTCAACATTGTCACCGGCCTCGCCAGCCTGCTTAGCGGCGTGGCGGCGGACACCCTCGGAAGGAAGAGGCTCATCCTTCTCTCAAGCTTCATCTGCACAGTCGCTGTGCTGCTTATGGGAGCCGCCAGCGGACCGAACGCCTTTGCGATGGTGATGCTTGGGCGCACCTTCAACGGCATTGGCACCGGGCTGGCTCTGCAGGTGTCCCAATGCTTCGTCGCAGAGATTGCGCCGAAGCATATCCGCGGCTTGCTCGGCGCGTCGTTCGAGCTGTTCATCAACATCGGCGACTCTCGCCGTGTCTATCCTGCCATCCGTCTCCGAAGCTCGCCTGACCATGCACGGTTCGCTGGGTTTAGGCATCCTGATGGGCTACATCGGCGGCTGGGCGCTCTCCGGTCTGCCCGTTGGCACCGCCTGGCGGCTGATGATTGGGCTGGGCGCTGTGCCGCCCGCGGTCGTCCTGCTCGTGATGCCGTGCATGCCCGAGTCGCCGCGCTTCCTCCTCGGAGCTGGCCGCGCGGACGAGGCGGAGCGAGTCTTGTACCGGATCTACGCGCCTGCCGAGGCGGCAGCCGCCCTGCAGGAGATGCAAGAGGAGGCGGCCAAGCACGCCGGAGCTGGTTCGGGCGCCGGGCTGCTCACGACGGCACGGCTGGTCCTCTGTGCGCCCGCGCCACGCACGCGCCAGCTCGCGCATGCCGCGCTCATGACCGCCTTCCTCCAGCAAGCCTCCGGCGTCGAGGCGGCGACCTACTACACTCCCGAGGTCATGGAGGCTGCCGGGGTCGAGGACGAGGCGTCGCTGCAGCTGGCCACGATCGCCATGGGCGCCGTCAAGGTGAGTGTGATCGGTGTCGCCGCGGCGGTCGTGGACCGGTGCGGACGCAAGCCGCTCCTCGTCGCCTCAAACGCGGGGATTGCCGCCGCGCAGCTCCTCCTGTCTGCCAGCTTTGCGTCCGGCGGCATGCTGTGGGCCGCCCTGGCAGGCCAGTGCATCTTCATGGCAACCTTCTCCGCCGGGGTTGGCCCTTGCACGTGGCTGCTCATCCCCGAGTCCTTCCCGCTAGCCGCGAGGGGCGTCGGCGTCGGCATCGCCACCTTCATCAACCGCATGGCCGCCGGGGGGATCGCGCTCGTCTTCTCCTCCCTGATCCGCACCCTCACCCCCGCCGGCACCTTCCTCTTCTTCGCGATGTGCGCGGCCGGGGCCGCGGCATACACCTCGGCGTGCGTGGTCGAGACGAAGGGCCTCTCGCTCGAGGAGATCCACTCGGAGCAGCCGCGTTCGAACGGTGCCGCGGCTCGTGCTCCTGCTGCCGCGGCGGACCCTGCCAGGACTGTCCTAGTCAGGTCCGAATGAGTCCCCGGGCTCAGGGCGCGGGCGGGGGATCGATTCGGCTTTTTTGGGAGGTTCGATGTGTTTTTTATGTGTTTTGAAAAGGGAGCTCGGCCGTGTCATGATACATGATTTGATATGATGTCTCACATATGTGTGTATGTGAGAGAGAGATTTTTATTAACCAACAAGAAATCACGACTCTCACAGTGATTTGGGCTCGGCAGCTTGTCAGCCCTCAGCCGAAGCTGGGGCCGGTCCCGTAGCCGAGAGAGCCCGCGCCTTGTATGTGTCGCCAAGGCCCAAGAGGGCCTTCGTCGCGCCGCGCTGCCAGGGCTCGTGGATTCGGTCGCCGCCATAATTGACTGGGCGGCCGAATTCTTTTCCGCTGCCTTTTTTGTGGTGCTAGTCCTTTCGAGTCTGCTGTGAGCGGAGGGCGAGAAAAAAATCGAGCCGCGAAACTGGTCGTTGGCGCGTTCAGCCCACTCGCGCAAGCGCGCCCCACCCTCTGCCGCCCTCCGCTCCCATTCGCATGCCGCCTCGCCGCAGAACTCGCAGCCCCGCGCCACGGGCGCGGCGCGTCCCTGCAAACCCGGTGCCGCAAGAGCCGGACGGCGCGCCTGCTGCCGCCGCGCCCGCCGCTACGCCTGCTGCCGCCGCGCCCGCTGTCGCGCCCGCCCAGCGCCCGTGGCTGCGGCCTCGCCACCGCCGCTGGCTCAAGCACGGGGCAACGAGCGTTCTCATGTCCGGCGTGATGGTGGCCACGCTGCTCACGGCGGGCGCAAGCCTCTCTCTTGCCGCCTCGATCGCGTGCCTCTCGAGCGTCGCCCTCTGTGCGCTTCTCTCGCCATCCGACGCAGCAGCGCCGACGGCCGACCCCATCGACACCGGCCTCGCCTGCCCAATTTGCTTTGACGTGCTCGTGGAGCCGGTGACGATGAGCTGCCAGCACAGCGTCTGCAAGGGCTGCCTGCGCCGCCTCATCGACGCAACCCCCGAATGGGAAAGCGTGCGCTGCCCGAGCTGCCGCTCGCCGCTAACACGGGAGGTGCCGGCGGGCGTCAACACGATGCTCCAGGCGCAGGTCGAGACCCGCCACCCCGCCGAGCTCGCCGAGCGGCGCGCGAGCGAGCGTGCGGGCGGCGGCGGCGGCTCACGGGTTACGCTGTGGGAAATGGTCAGACAGCGGCTCGCACCCGGGCCAGGTCTGGGATTTCTCGGCGCAACACTCGGCTATATCCTCTTGTTCTGCTACTTTACCATCATCTTCGTCGCGACGCCGCTCCTCGTTTCCGTGCGATACAGCGAGGTGTGGGTCGAGCCGCGCAGCGGCATGGCATGGACCCGTTCCTTCCTTCTTCAGCTTTGCACATGCGCGTGCGCGCTCTGCCCGCTCCGGGACCGTTGGTCGACTGTTTTTGCCGTCGCCAGCTGCCGCCTCTTTGCAGGCCTGGGAGGCAGCACGTCCGCTCTACTTGGGCCAGCTGGCTTGTTCGCTACCCTCACTTTGCTGCGTTGGCTGCCGCCAACGAAAGGCATCCTCGGCAAAGCTGGGGCAGACGCAACAGCCGCAGTTGGCATCGCTGTTGCGCTGACCATCTCGACCGCGCACGCAGTGGCAACGCAGCCGCTAGGACAGGCAGACCCGTGGCTGCCTCCCGGCGCCTTTCTTGCTGTTGCTATCTTACAGCGATTTGGCGATCCACTTGAGGCACACACCATTGGAGGCGGAGCCGTTCACCTTCTCCTCGCGGCCGACGCGTTGCTTCTGCTCTGGGCCATGGAGAAGCCGCCGTTGTGGCTCGTCAACCTGCTTGTGCTCCCCGTTGCATTCTTCCTGGCGATTTGGCCCGCTCCTGGTTGCGAGTTTGTCGGGTGCACCTCAGGACAACCCACCGAAATCATCATGGCGTTGCTGCTCGGTGCCTCTACTCTGACGGCACTCGCGATGGCTCTCCTGCAATGGCCGCAGGTGAGTTGGCAGTCTTCAGTGCCCCTTGCGTGGTGCGCGTGGGGATATTTGAGCCAGGTGCGCCTCTGCGGAGCGTGGGTTGACCCCCTTTGGAAGCGTCTCTTTTACGCGCTGCAGCTCGTCGCGCCCATCGGCAACATCGCGCTGAGCGTTTGGCAAGACACGCGCGTCGCCGAGGTCTCGTTCTGGGGTGCTGCTGCTTCGATTCTAATGCTCTCCCACGCGGTGGACCGCTCTCCCGTGCCGCTGTACATGCCAGCTCGCGTGCGGGCGGCCGCGGACCTGTCACAGGCCACTGGCAACGCCATGATTGCTTGGCAGCTCCTCGCTACGCTGCCCTCGCTCTGCGTGCTCTGGACCGCCGCCCAGTCTCTCTGAGGCGCTGCTCCGAGCGCTGATCGCGAGCGGGTGCACTCTCGACGAGCCACGCCGGGCCCCTAAATTGCACCGGGGAGAGAGGGCGCTGCCTTTCTCCCGCTGCGCTAGGCGTGGCAGCGCTGCGTGATCGCGCGTGGCACCTGCGCCAAATACAGAATGCATTGGCATGATACGTTTCTGTCGTCGTCAAGGCTGTCGCCTTGCCTTGCATGAGAGATGTCCCGCGCGGTAGGGTTGTGCGCGGACGGCGTCTCGAGTCGCGTTACGCACCCCGCCGCGCTGCCTGTCGAAGAACCGAATGTGCACACCGGCCGGCGCGTGAAGGGTGAAGGCCGTCAGGCCGTGACCGCCGTACCCCGAGAGAAGGATTTTGAACTGTGTTCCCGCGGCTTTCGCGCTTTTTCGCGTTTTTTTGCTGGCACTTTGCGCTTCCGCTTGGTCCCCCTCCTTCGGGATTTGCATTTGGTGTTCTTACTGTATGTGTACGGGGCTCTCTACTGAGACGTGGTGGAACGACGCACTCTCTCCCCTCTCATGCTCTATTCGTCTTTACTGGACACCACGCGCGTGCGTTCGCAGATACGTAGGGTCCTAGGGAGCGTACACGATGCTCTCTCAAGACTCGAGATGGCGGTCGCGCAAATACTTGCCCAGCGCGTCGAGGGGCCGCGAAAAGTCGGGCAGCATCTTTGACACCGTCCTCATCGCCTCCGCGTCGCTCGCGCCGGAAGGTGCGATGGCGGCGACAAAGGCGGCGCGCTGCGGCGCGGCGTTCACCGCGGCGGCAAACACCCCCCGCACCAGCGCGTTGTGGTGCTTGCGGAGCGAGTGGGCGTAGCCAGCGGTAACGCACTCCTTGAGGGACGCCTGCAGCGGCTTCACCAGCTCGAGCAGCAGCGCCTCGATTAAGCGCAAGGCGCGGCAGAGCCAGAGCAGCGAGGTGCATGCGGAGCCGTCGCGCCGCGACGCCTTCTTCGCAGCGGCACGGCAGCCCGGTCCGCCGCCGAGCGCCTCGAGCTCCGCATCGCACATCTGCTGCAGCGTCGCGCCTGGTGTGTGGAGTCGCCAGAGCGAGTCCGCGTTTCCGAGCAGGTCCGACTTCACGATGCCCATGCCAGGCAGAGCGTCGAAGATGGTGATCAGCGTGTACGCGGCCGAGAGAAACTCGCGCGCCGGGACGCCACCCGACGACGGGCTCGCGCGCCGCAGGGCCTTGAGCGTGTCAGGCATCTCGTCGAGCAGCGGCCGCTTGAGCTTGACCCTTGGCGGCGGCCCCGCCACGCCGTCGCCACCGCGGCCGCTCAGGGCTCGCGGCACGGTGAAGGCTGCGGCGGCTGCAACGGCCAACACAAACGACGAGCGTGGTGTTGGCACGTCGATGCTGAGTCCCATCGCCAGCTGTTATCGCCGCTGGCGCGGGCTTCTAGAATCCGCAAGTGGACAACTTGAGTGGCGCGGTTGGTGAAGAATTCTACAGCGCACATGCCCAACTCTCACAGCAGACTGGCACGGTGAAGAACTCTCCACAGCACGGTTCGCTTCGTCCACCGAGCACCGCGCTGCGAGCCTGTCGTGTCCCTTGTCAGAAGCAGGAGAACCCCCGGTGCCATGATCGTCCTTCCAAAATCCTGCTCGTGCAGGTGGGGACCCTGTCTTCCTCCCATCCCTCGTTTCTTGTCTGTTGGCGTCTTTCTTTCTTTTGATCGTCCCCCCTTTGGCGTGTGGGGCCGCGTTTATTATTATTTTCCACCTTCATGTGAACAACGAAAACGAAGCTACGCTTGCACCTGCGCCTTAGAGACACGACGTGGACACGACCGAGCACGCGAGCTCGTCGGACGTGGGATCGTTCGCGACGGCGTCAAGCTCGTCGGACTCCGGCTCGGTTCTTGTGCTCGGGGCCGTGGCGGCGGCGGCGGCGGCGGCGGCGGCGGCGGTGCGTGCGGTGGCGACGGGCTGGTTGTAGAGCAGCAGCGAGCCGAGGACGAGGGCCATGCCCGAGAGAAACAGGGCCGACGGCGGCGAGGCCGTCACGATGGACGTGACGGCGCACGTGAGCACGATGGCGCAGGCCGCCGCGTACATCTTGACGATGTTGTCGGCGTGCTTCACCACCGCGGCGACGAGCAGCCCGCCGAAGGCGGTGCTGGCGACGACGGCCCAGACGAGGGGCGAGAAGCCCTGCAGAGGGCCTCGAGCGACGATGGCAGAGCGGTCGGCGAGGAGCAGCAGCGCCGCCTGCGGGATCGAAAAGAGGCCCAGCTGCACGTTGCGCATCCAGAGCGAGGGCGGCGGCGGCGGCGGAGGCGCGGAGGTCGAGGCGCCCGGCGGCGGCGCCGCCTCCTTGAGCACCTACTCACGCGCGGCGTGGCGCTCACCGTGCCGAGACTGGTCGCGGTCCTCTCCGTGCGAGTGCGCGGCCTTCTCGAAGTAGATGTTTGCGAAGCCGGAGAGGAGCGACGAGCTGAGAACGGCGGCCACGCCGAGCAGCGACCTGGGGGATGGGCACGGGGATGGCCAACTGCAGCTCGAGGTTAGGGTTATGGTCACGGTGGAGGCAGCAGGTTGGGATGAGAATGAGAATGAGGGTGAGGGTGAGAAATGATCGGGACGGGCTGCTCTCCCGGCCGCACCCGCCCGCGGGAGGCGCGCTGCCCGCGGCTTCGCCGAGCTGGACGGTGCACACGCCGAGCGAGAGGAGGAGGAGCGCGAGCCACTGCGCAGGCTCGAGCCGCTGGCCGAGCAGCCGCACGAAGAAGAGCGCGGTGAAGAGCGTCTTGGACTGCGACCACAGCTGGTGACTCGTCGCCTACAGGGCAGGCTGCGAGAAGGCTCACCGGGCCATCCTCGAGAGGCGACCGAGCTGGTGGCTCGTCGGCCGAGAGGCGGGAGAGAGAGACAAACAGCAGCCGATTCTGAAGCAGGTAGCAGAGCGCAGGCACGGCCATCTTTGCCGTATCGCCGACCCGAAGCAAGCAGCGCCGCACCGCCGCCAGCATCGGCCGCACACCGCCCTCCTCTCTCGCGATGAGGGCGAGGCACAGCGGGAGCTTAAGGCACTCCGAGAGGAAAACGGCCGCGGACCCGAGGTAGAGCGGTGCGCCGTCTGCGGCTGGTCTGCGGCTGGAGGCGACCATCAGAGCAGTCGCCGAGTTCTGCACCACGAGCAGGGTCAGGACGACCCAAGCGATTGGCAGCCCCACAAACCGACGCGGCTTGGCCACGTCCGGGCTGGCAGTGGCAGCCATGCAGGTCTGACCTAGCCTCGATCCGGCCAGTGTGGTGTCCAACGTGCAGGCCTTGCCTCGGTCGCGACGGGCGGTCAGAGCTGGCTGGCGAAGAACAACTGCACCGCACGGAGGCGGCGACACAAGCGCTACTGCGCAACCGAGAATTGGAAGCATCAGAGTCATCGCTCTGCACGGTATCAGAGGCGGTGCTTGCTCGAGCGTACGAGCAGCGCTGCTCTAGCAGCAGAGGCCGCGGTGCTAGGCTGCTAGCAGGGCGAGAGAGCAAAGCCGATGCTGTGCAAAATGACTTCCGAAAAAGAATTTTACCGGTTATGTTTTTTTATTTTCTGGCGACGGCTAGTGCACCTCACCCCTCTCCTTAAAATCCCTGTGTGGTGGCGGCGTGCCGTCCTCCCATCCCTCCCTTGGGTGTCCGTGTTCTTTCTTTCTTTCTTTTGATTTTCTTTTTACGATTAAGGGAAAAGATTTTTTAATCAACACGACACTAGCGGGACTGGCGCGCGCTGGCACTGACACATGCACATGTGCATGCACATGCATACACACCATCATCGAAAAAGAAAGTGCGGCGACTTGCACACACACAAGGAACACTGCAGTGAAGCAGTGAGGAGATTAGACTTGGGCCCGCGAGCCTCCTATTTCGTGTGTGTCACACACTCACACCTTGAGCACTTGAGCACTGGATAGGGTCGATTCCGCATGGTACGGGACCCCTCGATCGTCTCGCCCTCCCTCACTGGTGTGTTCTCCTATTTCGACAAGACCAGCGCTGAGCCACAGGCTGAGGGCGCGGAGAGCCGAAGTCGAGCGAGTGTTATGGCCGCCCTCCCCTCACTTGGCAAGGTTGGTGAAGTGTGGGTGCTGCGCCCTTCGCTTGGCCGCGAAGCGCCCTTTCATGATGGGGGCAGCTGGCGCTCCGCGGTACGGTCGTCGTCGTGATCCTCCTCCATCGCTAATGCGAGAATGCGACGGTCCAATGCGTGCAGTTCAAGTCCAGGTTGTGTGTAGTAACGTCAATGCTCGGCCTTGCGTCTATGATTGTTGCTCGTCTCGCCCTGGATGTGAGGTTACCGACTGCACTCCAAGTGCTCCAAGTCTCTATGCTTGCTGCTTGAAGTTGTATACGCCAAATCCCCCTAACCAAAGAGTCTGTGTACTGTGATCTGTGATCTGTGAGGGTCCGCCCGCAGGCGCATTTTGTATACCGAGGCGGTGCCCGGTGCCGAACCTGTCGGACCTTCCGCTTGAGACAGCGTTGTAGATCCCTGGGCGAGGGTGATGGCGTCCCCGTCGGGTCAGGGCTGAAGGCGGGGGAGAATGTGCATATGCATGCATGTTTCCTATGTTGGTTAGCCGGGTATATGCACACAGTGAGTGAGTGGGTGGGTGGGTGGGTATTTTGGTCGGTGTCTGCAGCCTCCTAGAGCCTAGCAGTAAGGCGGCCGGCGGTGGGGCGGGGGGGGGGGGGGGGTCCTGTCTGCCACCTTCTTTCTTTGAAAACAAAAAGAAAAAACCGTAGACGCGGCTAGCAGTCCCTCCGTGCGTGCAGGGGCCGCGCACCAGCCCGCTCCGCCCGGCCGCCGCAGCCCGTGCCACCACCATGCCGCCCAAGACGCCGCCGCGGACGCCGCCCAAGACGCCGCCTCGGTCGCCGGTTGGCCCCCACGCGGCTCTGCAGAACATCGACGTCCTGTGCCTCGTCTTGAAGCAGCTCGCGGCCAGCCACCGGCAGTGGGCCGCAGAGTGCGAGCGCTCGTCGCAGGTGTGCCAGCTGTGGCGCGCGTGCGCGCGGCGCGTGCGCAACAGCCTCGAGCAGTGGGAGGAGCACTCCTTCCTCGTCACCCGCTTCTCGACGCGCCGCTGGCCGCGCCGCGCGCGCACAATGGAGCAGGGCGAGGTGCGTCCCTCGCCGCCGCTCCTCCTGCCAACCTTCACCACGGGCGGCGTGTTCGACTGGCAGCTCGCCGTCTACAACCCGGCGGTCGACCACCGCGGCAGCGCGGTGCGCCGGCCGCCCGGAGCCGCCTTGACGGGAGGCCTCGCGGGCGCGGCGCTCGCAGACTCGCACTGCCTCGGCCTGTCGCTGCGCGTGCCGTCGGCGGAGACGCAGCCGGCCGGGTGGGCTCGGCGGACCGAGGCGTTCCTCGCCGTGCACCCGCCCCACGCGCCCGGCGAGACGCCCCCCGCCAGCCTCAGCATCCACTTGCGCCACATGCTGCGCCGCGGCTGCGACGAGGCGGGGCCGGCGTGGTGCGTGCGCGCGGCGGAGCTGGCGCAGTACCTGCACGAGGACGACTCGCTGCGGCTGACGGTGCGGCTGCGCGTCACGCCCGGCAGCCGCACCTGCACACTCGGCGACGAGGCGCACCCCCTCGCACGCGACGACTCGCAGCGCAGAGAGCAGGCGCCGCGCGCTCCCCGCCCCTCCTCCCCGCCCCTCCTCCCCGCCTCGCCCTACACGCACGCACGCACGCACGCACGCACCGCTGCCACATCGGGTGCGTGGGATGTGCCGGAGAACTCTCACGCAGATCTCACGCAGCGCACGTGCGGCGAGCAACGCACGGCGCCGCACTCCACACTCGCACTCCATGCACCCACCACATACTCGCACTCCATGCACCCACCACACCCTCGCCCGGCGGCCCATCCTCCCGGCTTGCCGTGCCGCTCCGCTCGCGCCCGGTCTCTCGCAGTGCCCCAGTCTCTCTCTTCCGTCTCCAACTGTCTGTACCGACGCCTTCCCCCTTTGCGCTCGCGCCCTGGCAGGCGGGCGGGCGCAGCTACGCGGGCGGGCGGAGCTTCCTCTGCGGGCGCAGCTATGTCTGCGTCTCGTGCCGCGGCTCGTCGATCGAGCAGCGGCAACACGGGCGGCGCGCCGCAGCAGGGTGCGGGCGGAGCCCTGTCCTGACCCGCCTCGCGCCCGCCGGCTCTCTGGTAGGTGGGAGGGCATGCACCGCTGCACCGCCGGCTGCGACTACGACCTCTGTGACGAGTGCTGCGCCGCGGCGCGCCGGACCCGCCGCGCCTCTCGCGCCTCTCCCGAGCCCCTCCCCTGCCACCGTCTCGGCCGCCTTGCCGTCAGGCGCGCCTCGTCGCCGCCGCATCCTCCGGTCTCGGCGGCGCGACCGCCTCGAGCACCCTCCGCCTGCCGCCACCCCTCGCGGCGCGCAGCTCCCCCCCCCC